GCACATTAGAATCACCTGGGAATCTTTTTAAAAATCCTGATTTCTGGTCCTCATCCTCTGGAAATTCTGTTTCTTTGTCACTAATGTTGTGGCCTCACCCCATAAGAAAGAAACAGAATTTCTGGAGGATGAGGCCCAGAAATCAGGATTTTAAAAAGATTCCCAGGTGATTCTAATGTGCAGTCAAGGTTGAGAACCACTGCTTTAGGCAGAAGGAAAATGATATCAGATGGAAATCTGGATCTACATAAAGAAATGAAGAACACTATAAATGAGAACTAAATGAGTATAATTGAAAGACTTTTTTATTGAAGTATAATTGACATACAATATTATATTAATTTCATGTGTACAACATAGTAATTCGACCTCTGTATATAGGGCAAAATGATCGCCACAATAGTCTGGCTTTCATCTGTCATTGTACAGAATTAATACAGTATTGTTCACAGTATTCCCCCTGCTGTACGTTACTTCCCACGACTTATTTATAACTGGAGTTTTGTATCTCTTGATCCTCTCACCTACTTCACCTCAAGCACCCCCTCTTATCTAACAATAACCAATCTGTTTTCTGTATCTATAAATCTTGGTTTGGGTTTGTTTTCTAGACTCCACATATAAGTGAAATCATGTGGTATTTGTCTTTTTCTGTAAAAGACATTTTCTTATTTAAATCTTCTAAAAAGAAGACTGAGTGTTGATAATCAACACAACAATGTAGTGTAGGTTTATAATCTATGTAGAGGAGAAATGCTTGCTCTCAGCACAAATGCCGGGAGGAGAGGGATGGAAGCACATTGTTGTAAGATTCTTATGCTTCATGAAGTGGATTATCCCTGGAAGCTAAGATGTGAACAGTTAAACATATAGAATGTGAAACTTAAAGTGACCACTAAAATAACACAAGGTAATAAACACATCAGCAAAGGAGACCAATACATTATAAACAATATTCACTTAAGGCAGTAAAATAGGAAAAAAAGAACATATGGAATTAATAGAAAATAATAGCAAGAGGGTAGATTTAATCCCAACCAAATTAATAATATTAAATGTACATCAAAGGCAGAGATTTCAGATGGAATAAAAATGCAACAGCCAATTACATGCTGCCAGTAAGAAGCCTACTTAAATATAGACAAATGGATGAAAAGGAGAAGTATGGAAAGTGGTATACCATGCTGAAACTAATAGGAAGCTGAGGTAGCACTATCAATATGGAATAAAGTACATTTTAGGGAATGTTACCAGAGATAAAGATGGTCATTTCATAATGATAAAGTGGTAATTAATCAAAATGATAAACAATCTTAAATGTTGATGTACCTAATAGAAGAGCTTCAAAATACATGAAGTAAATAATGACAGAACTAAAAGAAGAAACAGATGAGTCTGCAGTTATACTGAGATCTTAAGAGTATTTCTGCTAGAACATGCAGACAGAAAAATCAGTAAGGATATAGAATATTCGAACAATGCTATCAGCCACTTGACCTAGGATATATGTGAAATCCTACACAAGGAACAGGAGATTACACATTCTCTTTAAGTACATATGGAATATTTATCAAGACAGACCTTGATGTTGGTCATAAACAAAGTCTCAATACATTTAGAAGGACTGAAGTTATTCAAAGTATGTTTTTCAACCATAACATAATTAGAAATAAAATCAGGCAGATCTCCTTCTGCAAAGAAAGAAATTCACGTCATAGCTCACACTATATACAAAAATGAACCCAAATGGATCACAGACTTAAATACTAGTATAAAATCTATAACTCTCATTTTTTTAGAAGAAAGGGTAGAAGATAATCTTGTGACCTTCAGTTATTTGAAGAGTTTTTAGATAACACCAAAACATGGTCTATGAAAGAAAAAAATTATGAATGAGACTTCACGATAATTAAAATATCTAATCTTCAAAAAGTATTGTTAGGAGAATGCAAAACAAGTCACAGATTGTGAAGGGAAATTGCAAATCACATAGCTGAAAAGGTGGAATACAAAATATATAAAAACTTAAAATTCAGTAAGAAAAAACAATTAAAATGGCAAAAGGTTTGAATAGAAATTTTATCAAAGGGTACACAGATATGTCAAATAAACAGAAAAAGATGATCAATACCATAACATAATTGATTATTGAGGAAATACAAATTAAAGCCACAAAAATATCCCACTGTGTCACTGTGCTTAGTTACAATTTCTAATTGAAAAGCCTGACCGTTCCAAGTGCTGGCAAGGATGTCGAGAACCCGGGCTATCACACACTATTGATGGGAGCATAAAATGGTATAACCACTTTGGTAAACAGTTTGGAAAACTTTTTAACATTTTAAGGAAAGTGAAACACATAGCTGTCATCTGAGGCAGGCATTCAACTTCCAGGTGCTTACCAAGAGAAACGAAAGCAGGTAGCCACGTCAAGACACGTACAAATGAGCATAGCAGCTTTCTTAAAGTTCATCCAAAGGCAATGGATTTCAAAATAATCACGCTGAGTAAAAGAAGCCAGATAAAGGTAGACTAGATATTATGTGGTTGCTTTTTAAATAAAACTTTAGAAAATGGGAACTAAGCTATAGTGTCAGGTAGGGACTGGGGTGGGGTGCAGAGGAGCAGGTGGGTAGGACTAAAAGGGCACCAGGACACTTTAGGGATGGAACCTGCCTGCTCTCTTAGCAGTGGTGAGGGCTTCACAGGCATATACCTATGACAACACTTACCAAATTGTACACTTTAAATATGCGCAGTTTAATATTTGTTAATTATATCACAATAGAGATGTTTCGAAAAACTATAGCACCACAAGCTTTCTTCTGTTTAGTATTTCTTGGCATAAATATTTCAGTCCTTTTATTTTAAACCTTTTAGTATTCTTATATTTTAAGTGTGTACTTTGTGAACAATCTAAAGCTAGATTTTACTGAATATAATATGCACTTAATACATACTTATTGACTATTCAATAAACAAGTCCAGTATGATAATCTCAGTCTTTGATTTAGTGTAGAGTTTTGTTCATGCACATTCATTATTACATTTTTAGTTCATTTCTAATATTTTATTCTTTTGATTTTTCTCATCTCCCTCCTCCCTTTCTTCTTCCCCCTTCCTTCCTCTATCTGTTTTTTCTTTTCTCCCCATTTTGCCTTCATTTGCATTGATTGAAAATACTTTGACCCTTCATTCCAACTTTTTCCACTCTTTTTATATTAGAACTATATACTCTATTTTATTGGTTATCCTGGAAATTTTAACATATATATTTTAACATAATGTCTAAAAGTGCACAATACCTCTACTTACCCTAGAATATAAGGACCTTACACATGGTGGCTTATTTTTTTTGTGTGTGTAAAAATTTCACTTTTATTCTCCTAAGTAGACACAGGTTCTATGGCATTTTATCTTTCTTTCCTTTTTTAATAGATCTTTATTGATTTCAGAGAGGAAGGGAGAAGGAGAGAGAAGAGGTAGAAACATCAATGATGAGAGAGAATCAATGATCGGCTGCCTCCTGCACGCTCCCTACTGGGGATTGAGCCCGAAACCCAGGCATATACCCTGACTGGGAATCGAACCGGTGAGCTCCTGGTTCCTGGCTCGATGCCATACTGGACAGGCCCTATAGCATTTTAAATGAAATTGTCAGACCACAGGGTTAGCATGGAATCCGGCTCTCAAATTTTGGCAGGACAGATATGGGGCAAGGAATTCCTAAGGGAGGGTTGGCTCCCCTCCCGCCTTCTTAAGAGCCGAAGCTGCAATGAGCCAGGCTCCTCCTGCAAGATGAACTTTCTTTTTCTTAATTCATCCAGGAGGATGCTGCCCTTCACAAACTCCAGATTTACCCAGGGTCCTCCATCTGAGCTCCCACCCTCTCTTGTGGCTTTGATTTATTTCCTATACTTTTTTTTATTCCTCGCCTGAGGACATGTTTTTATTAATTTGGAGAGAGAGATGGAGAAAGAGAAACATCAATGTGAGAAATATTGATCAGTTGCCTCCCGTATGCGCCCCGACCAAGGGATTGAATGCGAACCCAGGTATATGCCCTGACTGGGAATCACAACCTTTTGGTGCATGGGACCATGCTCCAACTAACTGAGCTATCTGGCCAGGACCCTACACATTTTAATTAACCAGAAATATTAATATGTTTTCTATTCTCTAAGCTTTCTGATTAATAGTGCAGTGACTAAGAATGTAGTTTTGGAATTTTGAGTGTTTGGGGTTCAAACCAAGACTCTATTACTTACTTCCTGTGGCTTTGGGCAAATTAATAAAAGTCTATGTACCTTGATTTCCTCACATGCAAAGGGAGGGGCAGCGATAGCACCTGCCTCACAGGCTATTGTGTGCACTAAAAACATTAATGCAGTTGAACAGCTTAGGACAGTGCCTGGCATACAGTAAGAACTCAGGCATGAGCTGTGGACATTGCTATTTTTGTGCTTGAAGAAAATGTTCTGAGGTTACACTGCATTCTATTCCACAAAGGAGTTAATGCCTTATGATATGAGATATGAATTTCCATAATAAATAATTTTCAACTTTCAAGTGACATTAGGTAGCTTATTTGTGTCTGAATATAAAGAAATGGCTTCCTCAGTGACAAAATAACAAGTGCTTTATATGCATTGTTGGTCTGTTTTTCTTTCTTTTAGAAATTATCGTCTCTTGCGGTTAGAGTTTCAAAGTCTGTTTTTCAATTATACATTATTTCTACATGCTGTTGGATCAGCAGATACTCCTACACAGAGAAGCTTTTACCACTTAAACGTAGCATGATAACACTCTGTTTTTTAAGAGAAAATGATGCCAGCAGCTGGTTCATTTCATTTAGAATCAGAACACATCAGTAATGTATGCCAGGCCCCAGAACAATCCTGCATATCACATGTGCTGGCATTGCTCCATTAATAACACTTGAACAAATAAGTTCAAGTTCAAGTTTTCTCCCCAAATAACACAGTCACATTTCCCAATACCTGGTGAATGAAGCTTGGTGGTTGAAGCTGCCGCTCTCTTCGGAGATGAAACAGCAGGTTTATTAGCATCTTGATCTTTTTGCAGTTCTTTCTTTGTTCCTATATATAGTTAAAAAAAAAACAAAACAGAAAGAAAGCAAACTAGTTACAACTGGAACAGTAACACGAGCTGTTTGTGGAAAGGGATGTTTAACAAAAGGCAAACGGAGCAAAGTCATATTTCGATGATTTGCTGCTATGGTCACACCCCCTGTGCTTCAGGGACGACACACTTGTTTACAGCGAAGGGAATTCAGCTGGAGGGGTCAGGGGACTAAGCACACTGCTGTCTCTGATTTGATGAAAAAATCCCTATCTTGGGAGGTCGCGGCACTCCAATGACCCTGACGAACTATGTGGCAATTAATATTGTCCTGTCCTTAGCCACCAACTTGACCTGCCTGCCTCTTTCTGCAGAAAGTAATTTTCAGAAGACTGAGAAGGAAGCTGTCGCTGAAGTAACTACTGATGACTTCAGCATCATCGAGGACCCAGCCATGGGGCCATGGCCTGCCTCGAAATAATTTCCATGCAGCTGGTCCACACAGGTGACCTGCGAAGCCTCTGTGCTCTCTCTGCGGCAGCTGAGCCTGTGTGGAACCAGAGCTGGTCCCAGCAGAATGGGGTGTGGGTGATATCTCAACAGCAAGTGGCATCTAAGAACAGATCCTCAAATCATGTCCGGGGGCACGTGGAGCCTTTCTCCCTGTGTGCTGGGCATGGACACTCACCTTCACGTCACCTTCATCAGAAAGTCAAAGAACAATGGATGGAAAATTAGAGAAATAACACAGACCTGGATGGACCTAGACCAGCCTCTACTCTAGCAGTTCATTATGTCATTTCCAAACCAAACCTTGGTGGTGGTTCCTTAGATGCTGAGCACTAACCTCCAACTTCCCCCGAAGCTCTAGAGGTAACCACTGCTGGCAATGTGGTGATTATTCTTCCAGATCTCTTTCTAGGTATTTATAAATATATCTACACATATACAAACACAGTTATTAACTAAATGAATCACACACTGCAATTTTTTTTATCTATCCACAATTTTTAAATATCTTTTTCATATCATTTATTTATAGATCTTTTAAAATGTCACATTGCATTAATGGGCAAGGATGTAGCATAATTCATTTACCTATCTCTTATTGCTGAAAATTTAGATTATTAGCAAGTGTTGGCTATTAAAATGGCTGAATGTGCTACAATAAACATCCTTCTACTTGTTTCTTTGCATGCGGGTCTTTCCAGGACAAATGCATAGCAGTGCCTTTGCTCATTTACAAAACTGCGAGATGCAGTCAACTGTCCTCTACAGAACCTAGTCCACACTCCAACCAAGAGTGTGTGAGAGCAGCTCTTTCCCTACTGACAGTGAAGTCTCAACACTTAACTTTTGCCAGATATTTAGAGTATCTTCATGTCTGTCATGCACGTTTTCTTATTCGAAAATTGTCTAATTAAAGCTTTTGCCCATTTTTCTTGCACTTTCCATACTTCCACTTCCAGAAACTTATTTATAGTATCTTTTACTGGACTGCTGTTTTATGCAGTTTTAATGTGTTCAAATACGTTAATTTTCCCTGTCCAGTTTTAAGAGCACTATTATAGGTTATTTGTATGTCTGTGTGCATGCAGGTGTGTGTGTGTGTGTGTGTGTGTGTGTGTGTGTGTGTGTGAGAGAGAGAGAGAGAGAGAGAGAGAGAGAGAGAGAGAGAGAGAGAGGCTGAAGTAGGGATAATTTCTGGAGTTTGGGGAAGGAGCAGGTATTTGGATCCTACCTCCTTCTCTCTTGTTCTTCTCTGGCCTGACTGGGCCACCGCCTCCCTCACACCATTGCATTTGCCTCAGCTCCTCTCCATCCTAGTCCACCTGCCTTCAGCTTTTCCATCACAGACCTGCCTTCATCTCTTCTGTTTTAATGCCTTTGGAGACTTTGTTTTAGTCTTGTTAGTTTGAATCTTCTAAGGCCTGAATTCTCTTTCATATCCCCTCATTTTTTCCCACTCTCAATACACTTTGTGGCATGTAGTAACATACTGTCTCCCACATCTCAGTAACGGCGCCGTCACTCACTGTGCTCAGGTCAGAAACACCAGGAGTTACCTTGATTTGCTTCTTTGCTTCTTGCCCCCATTCGCCTGTCAGCAAAGCTTGTTGCCTCTCCTCTGAGACTATCCCCCAGGTCTGACCACATTCCTGCCTTGCATTGCCTCTGCAGAGCCCATGTCACCAACACCCCTTCTGCCTCATCTACAGCCTCCTGCCTGCTCTGCTATGCCCACTCCCACCCGTACAGCTCATCCCCCCACAGTAGCAGCTGAATTATTTAAAATCTAAGTTAGAGCAAGTCATTTTCAATTTCAAAACCCTCCAACCACCCCCCAAGACACTCAAAGCGAAATGCCAATTCCTTATCACACCACAAGGCCCTATACACCAGCACTCTCCAATAGAAACAGAATGAGCCACTTATGCAATTTTAAATTTTCTTGTAACAACATTTAAATATTACAGTGAAATTAGCTATAATAATGCATTTTATTTGATCCGACATATTCAATATCACTTCAACATGGCACAGGTCACCTTTCAAGTTCTCAATAACTACTCCTGGGCCAGTGGCCACTAGAGTGGACCGCACAGCCCCAGATGACCTGGTCCCATGGCTACTTCACAGACACACTGTGATGGTTTATTTTATATGCCAACCTGACTGGGTGATGGGGTGCCCAGACATTTGGTCAAATGTTATTTGGGGTGTACTTGTGTTCTGGGTGTTTCTAGAAGAGATTAACATCTGAATCTGTGTGAGTGGGCCTCAGCAGTCTGCTGAAGGCCCAAGAAGAACAAAAGGCTGACAGGGAAGGATCTTCGCAAGCCTGATTGGCTGAACTGGGACATCAGTCTTCTTCTGCCTCGGACTTGAACTTACCCCATTGGCTGTCCCGGGTCCCCAACCTTGGGATTTCTCAGCATCCATAGTCATATGTATATTTAATAAATAGATAATATATAAATTCTGTAAAGAATACATGTTATTTATATGTAATATACTATATATGTATATGTATCTTATTTATATGTAATATACTATATATGTATATGTATCTTATTGGTTGTGTTTCTCTGAACCCTGACTGATACACATGCTGATATCACTCTGGTCCCTGCTTGCATCTCCAGCCACACCACCAGCCTTGCTGCTGATGAAACATGCACACTTCCTCCCATCCTAGGCACTTTAGCTTGGATTCCTTCTGCACAGAATATGCTTCCCCCAGCCCTGGCTGGTGTGGCTCCGTTGCTTGCAACACCGTCCTGTACACAGAAAGGTCACAGGTTTGAGCCCCAGTCAGGGTACATGCCCAGGTTGCAGGTTCCATCCCCAGTCAGGATGCATGCCAGTTGGGGTTCGTGCAGGAGGCAACCAGTCAGTTTCCCTCTCACATCAATGTTTCTCTCTCTCCCTCTCACTTCCTCTCTGTCTAAAATAAATAAATAAATAAATGCTTCCCCCAGACTTTAAGCATGGTTCCCGCATTCTTGCATGCAGGTCTCTGAACAAATAACCTTCAGAGAAGCCATGCCTGACCTCCAGGTGAAACAGTCCTGCCACCTGCCACTCTCCCTTTCACTTGCTTTATTCTTCTTCACAGAATTTGTCAATACCCCTAAGTATATTATATACTCACCTGTTTGTTTATTGTCTACCCTCCCCACTAGAACACAAACTTCAACCAGCTGGCCACACCCTTCCCTGTACCACGTGGTCATTCATTTGATGTTCTTCTTGCCCCTCCCCCTCCCACTGGGCTCCTTTCAAGACAGGGCCAGGCCAGGAATTCTAGGGCTTACAAGGGCTGGAACCTGGGTCCCAAAAGCCCAGCCAGCACTCCACACTGCTGACAGGAGTGCTTTTTTCAGAGTACCAATCCATACCAATGGCTAATCTCACTCTTCCATTCCTTCTCTCCTCTTTGATTTCAGGTATCAAAAAATACGAAAAGGCACCAAGGCCCCTGGGAGCTGAGAAGAGAAGTGGGAAAGGCCAAAAGTGCACTCAACACAGGACTTTAAAAGAAAACTAAATATGCATATTTAATCAGAGTTTCAATTTTTTCCATACCATGGAGTACAATTTGGCAACTTCTAGCAAATATTTAAATATTATAGACTTGATTAGGCAATCTTGCTTCTTTCTACATGTCTCTCTTTGCAACACTTGCACAAGCGTGAAAAGATGTATGTTCAAAGATACTTCATACATGATGACAATAATAAAGAAGTGTAAATAACCAAATTGTACATTGGGTAACAGGTGAATAAATTATGGTACATCCATACTACGAAGTACTATGCCTTTAAAAAAGATGAGGTAGCTCTATATTGTACTGGTATGGAGAGCTGCCCATCTCTCTATATAAAACCCTAATGTGCAAATAGACCGAACGGTGGAACAACTGAACAACCAGTTGCTATGATGTGCGCTGACCACCAGGGGGCACACACAGAACATGGTGGGCATAGGTAGCAGGCAACAGAGTGCAGAACATGGAGGGCGTTGGCCATGGCAGGATGGTGGAGCAGGTGAGCAGGGGCACCAGACCAAGGTGGGGCATCAGTCACTGTCATCAGGGAAAGCCTCTGGTGGTTACTGAAAATTCTTTGCTCTCGTGTGCCGCAGTCCCACCTGGCGCTCGCACCAGCTGCCTGCACTGGCCCCACTAGCACCCACTGCCGGCGCCCAGTGCTGGCTCCGATCACTTGGCGCCATCAGCAGGTGCGAGCGGCGGCTGCCGGCCCAGCCCCAGTCACTCCTCAAGGCTTCTCCACCTCCTCCTGCTCCTGAGGAGCAATCAGGGCTGGCAGCTGCTGCTCGCACCTGCTGCTGGTGCCGGAGCCACCATTCGCTGCCAGAGCCCGGTGCCAGCCCCAATTGCCCCTTAGGGCTTCTTCACCTCCCCCTGCTCCTGAGGGGTCACTAGGGCAGCAGCCACCGCTGGCGCTGGCTCCAGTCGCTCAGCACCATCAGCGGGTATGAGCGGGGCCAGCAC